CCCCAAAACCCCAAAACCCCAAAACCCCAAAACCCCAAAACCCCAAAACCCCAAACTCGGATTTAAAATTGAGCTCATTAGTTCTTAGAGAAGTATAACTCTTCTTCAAATTGGTTTGAATTTTTATGGCTCTTACTTTCCTTCAGCTTCTTCATCTTAACTGGGGTCTATATATCAGGCAAAATACAGTACGATTAGATCAAATTTTGACCTTTTTGGGCTATCTTCTTCATCCTCTTCCACAATCTGGCTGGTGCTTCCATACAGGCTATAAATAAGGTCTAATCCAGTACCTTGGGGAATCGACACTGTCGTTGAATATGACTTGTTTCTTAGCTAAGTTTTTGATATGGGGCTTCTTCTCGTGAAGCAAATCTAGAGAATTCTCACAAAAATTACCGTTGATATTCACATTCTGGGTTGCCTTAGTGTCGATTTCCAATGCCTTTTTGTCATCTAGAATTTGAGTAGACCTTAATTTCAGCATCTTTTTAGGCTTAGTTGAAATCCCTGTGTTAGATCTTTTTCGATTCGTAGTCATAGGAGCCATCTTGATAGGATTAAGCATGATTTTGGGTGGATTTTCCCTCTCAACCTCTTTATTTTCAACAATATCTAGAACATTAATTTCACACAAAACCTTGACTTTTTCTTCTCTCAACAACACTGGAAGTCTTGATAGTCCGTTCTACTGCTGGTTGAGAGCTTTTCCTGATTTTCTTAAAATCCAATGGGATCCAGGGGTTCTTGGTCCCATTCCTTAGGTTCTCATAAAACTTCTGATTTTTCTCCCTCATTTCATCGGAAGAGAGACCACAAGGAATTTGTCTCTTCTGAAGTTGACGTCTTGAATTGAATTTCTGAATTTTCATATACAATTGTTCTGGGTCTTGCAGCCTGAAATAGTCAAATGAAATCTTACCTCGCTCTGATCTTCTCAAGGTTATTTCTGGTTCTTTCTCTGACGGTTTTCGATATCTCTTTTGAGCTTAGCTATTACTTCCTTATTTCTCAGCTGAAATATTGCTACTTATCGATGACGAAGTAGGAATCTTGACAGCTATGAAATATTTGATATGATACTTACGAGGTTGCAGAGTTCCACTATTCAAATGGCGGCTTCCGCTCCCTTTCCTCCCACTCAACTAATAGATCATCAATAAGCCTTACTGTTGCTGACAGGCTATTCATATCCACCACTTCTAAGTAGAAATTATAGAAATTTATAAGAATTTTTTACAGAAAATTCTGGAGAATCCAGTACAAATTATGCTTACTTTCAACCTTGATGCTTTTAGCCATACCAGGAGTTAAGAAATTATCCCAATACTTCTTTGTAGGGAGGGTAAACCTTTTATTGTCTGAACTAGGAGCTTGTTTATATCTCCTATTGGTCAATTCACCTATGGAGTGACTTGCTCGCTTGGCCTTCCTCTCAATCCGAGAATTTTGCTGAGTCTGAGGGGTTGAATTAGTAAATTTCTTTGCATTTTCTCCACTTTTAGTCTTATACCAGTTTATCACTTTGTCTATAAAAATCTATTTTCATTATTTGTGTAGGAAAGGTTAGTCATCATGAAGGTCAGATTATCATGAAGCACCCTCTCAAGATCCCTCGTTGGTTTTTTATCAAACTATAGGTTAGAGCTTTCAGCAGTTTACAGGATGATGATGAATCTGAAAGTTCTTCGAATAATATCTGTTTAGCACACTTTTCACATAATCCCTCTTCTGAGGGCTGAAGTACTTATTTCTGTATAAATCCTTCTCAGTAGAGTCAAAAATAATGCCATTCAAAGAGCTCATAGCTTGGGAATAAACCTTTCCATTAAGTTTGCTTTCCATAATGCTCTTAATTTTATTATGGAAACAATATAATTCCGAGTTCTTGGGGTTTTGGGGTTTTGGGGTTTTGGGGTTTTGGGG